ATTTATGTTAGCAATGTCGTTACTCATTATCAACATATCATCCACATATAAACAAACAATGACTATTTGATTTGGAGTATTCTTAATGTAAACACATTTGTCACACTCATTGATCTTAAAACCATTTGACAACATTTTTGATCAAATTTCGCATGCCATTGTTTGGGTGCTTGTTTTAGTCCGTAAAGTGACTTAACAAGTCGACACACCTTCTTTTCTTTTCCGGGAACTACAAACCCTTCAGGTTGTTCCATATAGATTTCTTCCTCTAAATCTCCATTTAAGAAGGATGTCTTTACATCCATATGATGGATTTGAAGGCCATACACGGCGGCTAATGCTATTAACACCCGGATAGATGTAATCCTTGTTACCGGCGAGTACGTGTCAAAGTAATCAAGATCTTCTCGTTGTCTAAACCCTTTAACAACGAATCTTGCCTTATATTTGTCAATAGTACCATCAGATTTCATTTTTTCTCTTGAAAATCCAGTTAGAACCCAAATGTTTATTTCCTGGAGGAAGATCAACCAATTCCCAAGGATGATTACTTAATATGGAGTCTATCTCACTATTGACTGCCTCTTTCCAATATTGTGCTTCCGAGGAAGACATTGCTTCTTTGAACGTTTGAGGCTCATTTTCCAATAAGATAGCCCGAAAATCTGGTCCAAAGGAAGTAGTTGTCCTTTGACGTTTACTACGTCTTGGATTTTCCTCATCAAACGTACTTTCCTTTGCTTCTTCCCGAGGTCGCTTAGATTTTTTATTAGATGACTCACATTCCATTTTATAAAGATAAATATTCCCAAAGAATTTAGCATTATCCGATTCAATTACTGTACTAATATGAATGTCGGGATTTTCTGATTTATGAACAGAAAACGATAGCCTTACTATTTGTTGCATATCCTACGAAAACGCAATCAACGGTTTTTGGTCCAATTTTTACCCTTTTGGGTTTAGGAACTTGCACTTTAGCCAAACACCCCACACTTTAAAATATTTTAAGTTGGGTTTCCTTCCTTTCCATTTTTCATATGGAATGGATTGCGTTTTGCTATGGGGAACTCGATTCGGTATTCGGATAGCTGCAAGAATAGCTTCCCCCCACAAGTTCTGAGGTAAACCAGAACTTATTAAAAAGGCATTCATCATCTCCTTTAACGTTCTATTCTTTCATCTCCTTTAACGTTCTATTCTTTCTTTACGCAATTCCGTTAGATTGCGGTAAGGGGTAGTTGTTTGGTGAATAATGCCATTTTCCAAACATATTTCTTCAAAAGGAGATTCATATTCTCCGCCCTATCACTTCTTATCATTTTGATCTTTTTGTTTAGTTGCGTTTCAACTTCATTTTTGTATTGCTTGAATGCATCAATTACTTCATCTTTACTATTAAGTAAGTAAATATAGCAATATCTAGTACTGTTGTCAATGAAAGTTATGAAATACTTTTTTTCACCGCGAGATGGTATTAACTTCATGTCGCAAATATCTGTGTGAATTAAGTCTAAAGGATTTGAATTCCTTTCATCTGACTTATAAGGATGCTTAACATATTTTGATTCCACACATATTTGACATTTCGAGTTATTGCATTCAAACTTAGGCAATACTTCCAAATTAATCATTTTTCGCAAAGTTTTGAAGTTGACGTGTCCTAAACGTTCATGCCATATATTATTTGACTCAAGCAAGTAAGAAGAAGCTGAAACTTTATTCATATCAATGGAAATTACATTGAGTTTGAAAAGGCCCTCAATCAGGTAACCTTTTCCTACATACATTTTATTCTTATTAACTACAACCTTATCGGAAACAAAAACACACTTAAAGCCATTCTTGACTAGAAGTGATGTCGAGACTAAATTCTTCCGCATTTCAGGAACATGAAGAACATCATTTAGAGTCACAATCTTGCCAGAAGTCATCTTCAAAGCTATCTTGCTCGTTCCTTCAATTTTTGCAGTAGTGAAATTTGCCATAAAAACTGTCTCGTTGGGTCCAGCGGGAGTATAAGAAGTAAACAACTCCTTGTTAGCACAAACATGACGAGTTGCCCCCGAATCAATCCACCATTCTCTAGGATTTCCGACTAGGTTGCATTCTGAAAGCATGGTACATAAATCGTCTATTTCATCATTCTTCTCAATCATGTTAGCTTGACTTTTCTTCTTGTCCTTCTTTGGTGCACGACATTCAGCAGCCTTGTGTCCAACCTTTCCACAGTTGTGGCAATTACCTTTGAACTTCTTCTTGCTTGGGTAATTCTTTGATCGAGGCGACTTCTTTCTCTTTTACTCATTCAAGCTTCCTCAATAATATTTGCACCCATAGTCGTTGAATTTCCACGAGACTTCTTTTCTGCAGCCTTGTTGTCCTCTTCAATCCTTAGGCGAACAATAAGGTCTTCAAGCGTCATCTCCTTGCGCTTATGTTTCAAGTAATTCTTAAAGTCCTTCCACATCGGAGGCAACTTTTCAATAAATGCCGCAACTTGAAACGCTTCATTTATGACCATACCTACAATCATAAATTTAGGATTAATAATATAATCAATATCTTTAATAAAAATATTAATTCGATTTATCCCTCCGACAAGGAGGTCATGAACGATGACTTGTAATTCTTGAACTTGAGTTATGACAGACTTACTGTCAACCATTTTAAAGTCCAAGAATTTTGCGGCAACAAATTTCTTTAGTCCACCATCTTCCTTTTTGTACTTCTTTTCAAGAGCGTTGCACAACTCTTTCGAAGTCTCCATGACACTGTAAACGTTGTACAAGCCATCTTCCAAACAACTCAATATATAATTTTTGCACAAGAAATCAGAATGCTTCCATGCCTCCGTGACCACAAATCGCTCATTACCCGGAGTCTCTCCTCCCAAGACTGGAACGTCCTCTCTAATAAAGCGCTGCAGACTGAGAGTGGTCAGGTAGAAGAACATTTTTTGCTGCCAGCGTTTGAAGTCCATGCCGGAAAATTTTCCGGGCTTTTCTGCCGGTGCCATCGCCGGTCCAGGCGTTGTGCGACTTGAAGACGTTGTAGCCATTGCAGCAGTAGTCGTTCCAACAGAACCATTTTGGTGTTCCATACATGTTGTCATTTTTCTGTAAATGAAATTGACACAAACCAAATTACTATCTCGGTGAAGTTTTTATATCTTCAAACCGAATACAAACAACCGAGTTTTTATATCTCGAATTGAGTAGAATTTCACCAAGACTTCTAATCTCAAACTGGAGTAGAAAATCAGTACGATTTTAGTCTCCCAAACCAGAAAATAGAATGAATACAAAATATTAAATTCCTTAAGCTTGTTAGCAGTCCGTATTCAAAACCAGTAAATCAACAACGTTAGTTTAAAAAATAAAGCAGAAAAAAATTCCGAGCCCACAAGTTTCTTGTGTTTCCTTAAGTAATTTAATCCCTCACAATGCCCAAGGTTGCGGATTAATTCCTCCCAGGATAGAACGGAATAACTATTCTGTGATAGCGGCACTTCAAATCACAGAATTTCGGCGAACTTCAAATGGCGGAGCAAATCACACAAAATGCTTACGTTTTGTTTACCAATGCAGAATGCAGAAGATTGAGGGGATAGATTTCAGATTTTTCGGTAGTGGAAAATGAGGCTAAGCCTCTCTATTTTCGAAGCCGAGCGACGACGACGGCGCGAGGCACCACTTCTTCTTAACTCTTTAAGAGCTAGAAGATGAGCTTCTCTATATATAAACAAAGATTTTCTTTCCTTCTTCCAATGAGGGACAAAGTGCATTAGTAAAGTGAACTAATTCAAAATTTCACTTCCCTCCATTTCTTTTCCTACCATTTTCCATTCACCCCTCTTTTGTTATTAATAACAAAATCCAACAAGAATTTATCAATTCATTCACTTCATTATATATTATTAACATATATAAGAGTCCACCTATCTCTCCCACAAGCAAAGGTGAACATTTTTCTTGAAGTTTCCAATTCTGAGCAACACATTCATTATTTTCATGAGGTTATAGCAATTTAGCAAGGATTGGTGCAGATGCAGCGGCGAAGCAAGGAGCCTTTACAGTGGCCACTTTCAAAGCCTTCAGTGTGGCAAATATCAGCACATTTTTTCCGGCTGCGGCACCGCCCATGGAAGTTTTGGCTCTGCTTCTTGCATATATTTGCCTCCACCAATTTTGGTCCCATAGCTGCACACATCCAAGAAACCAATATATCGCATTATGTATGGAAATTAAAGTGTTGATTATACTTATACTTAAAAAGAAATAGTGTTATATCATAGTAATTCAGACTTTTATGGGATGGACTGAAGAGAGCTAAGTTTATTCATGATCCTATGAACGTTCCTTTAGCAAATGTATACTCTTAATAAAATGTTTAATTTGTAGGATCAAAACAAACTATATATGTACGTCAATTAGGATGTGGATGCTCTTGGGATAGAGCTTAATTAATTGTGTCCTCGCACGTATCAGGGAGTTTCTACCTCCAAAAATAACAATTAATTTCCGAAAAAGGAAAAGACTTGGTTAATAAATTCTTGGAAAATGAAAATGCAGACATCTAGCTTTGAAGTGTTTCCTCCCCCACCCCCCTCCTGGAATACCAGATGAATGTACTAGCTAAGTGTCAGCCTAAGGTCTATCGGAAACGACCTTTCCACCTGCACAAAGTAGAGGTAATGTAGATTACATTGGATATGTTATTATGGTTATTGTTGTTGTTAGCTAAGCGTCAAATCTAGAACTAAAGGGAGACGCAAGAAGTTAATTACCACTGCCCAAAATAAGAACCAGCATGAGGAAAGCGGCGGCAAATAATTTCTTAGAGCTTGCCATCTTTTACTTTAGGGAAAGGAGAGTGATTTTTGAATATCAGAGCCCCAAAAGCAATATTTATACTAGCAAATGGTGTTGTCTAATCGGGAGAATTGGACGGTTACCTTTGAAAATGCATAAATTAAAGGGAAATGAAAAGAGCACGTATATTTTCATCGTTCAGTTCCATTATCCATGATTAAAGTCCAAAGTTGGAAATAACAAATCAATAGTGTGTATTCAATAGACATTGTTCAGGTCATGAATTTGGGACTAAAATTCCATATCATATGATTATAGATATAGTTCACTTATTTCTAAAATGCCACAACTTCAAGTAATATACAACAAACTACCAATTAAAGTACAAATGAAGTCCCAAATGAGGGACATTAACAGGGCTAATTGGAAAAATTGATCTCTATAACCCACTTCACCAGTTTTTTTACATGCCTCGTGTAGATAGTAGACTCTGGTGAACACCAGCCAGTCCAATGGAAACACTAGCGATCAATGAAAGATTTGTTCATAAGATTAACTGCTGAATCCATAAACTGCGAAATATGAAAACAAGAATGTGATAAAGGTAAAACGAAACTTTGTTACAAATACTAGCAGTTGTATGCACGAAGCCAGCATCATATGTGCGTAAACATCTGTATGCACATACTTGAACCTACTGTAAAATGTTGAGTCAACTTTCTACGTAGTATTCGCCAATCAGACAGAAAGGGAAGAACAATGTTTTATGTTTTTCATTAATAAATTGGCCAAACTTATACTGAAAGTAATAATCAAGCTTAGGTATGTACAGATGCAGTTTTTTGTGTGAAAAATGTGTATATAGCTGCACCACTCGGCTATCCTCTTGTTTGAGTAATACCATTCATTGAGTTACAAGTGCACAGGTACCTTGTCACTATGGGTTTTTAGGAGCTACTCATATGCAATTTATAAGCTATCATATCACAGTTTAAAAAATGTAAAATAACTGTATCGTGCAGCTAACATAGTTTACATAAAAAGAATATACAATTTTTTTACTGGAAGTAATATAGTTACTAACTAAACTGGTATGCTCCCACAGAATCTAAATCAATCAATAGATTTATCTCCTTGAAGAACATGTCAACTTTAGTCGATTGAACTAAACTAGACAAAGTAGTATTACCTTCCCAACCGACTTAAGTTCTCGTCCAATAGGTTCCGTAAACTTCAGGTCGACTTCAATGGGCCATACCTGCATGCATAAAGGAAGTTGATTAGAAATGCAAAATACTGAAAGCTAAAACATAATGAAGAGGCTGAAAACAAAACCAGAAAATAATTGAGACAATATAGTTTGACAAGGTAGCGACAGTTATAGCTTGGGAGAATAAGAATTAAGAAATTAAATAGCATAGTTGCTTTCACCTGAAACTAAAAGTCCAAAACTATATACACCTCGTGCTACTCCTAAGGGTAGGGGTAAGGTCTGCGTACACACTACCCTCCCCAGACCCCACTAGTGGGATTTTACTGGGTGGGACCGTTGTTGTTGTTGAATATACACCTCGTCTCACCACCCCGAAGCATATAGATCCACCCGATCGATGAATACTCAAACCAAACTCATGAAGCCTTCAATGAAGCAACCATTGTAAGAAGCATGTCAGGGGGTTAGGCCTCGTAGTTCACAGACGAAATGAAGCAGACACAAATAAATTGGTAGAGTTACTAACTGATCCATCAAAATTTCATTTTTAGCTTCAGGATAAAGGAATTAAATATCTCTTGTGGGACTACACTGGTTATGTTGTTGTTCTTGTTGTTGATAAAGGAATTAAATATCTCTGGACCTTTCACATTTAACATGTAAACTATATTCCTATTTCCTTCTCAGCTCTCCCTTAACAACTTACCAGTACAAATGACAAAATAAAAAAGCATTTTTAATAAGGTTTATTGGACAAGCATAAGACAAAACCAGTTTAAATATTCTATAGATAACGTAGTTAGATCCATAATCATTTGTCTTCACATTGATCTTTTAAGCTGGCAATTCTAGAGGAGGTTTATTGGAGGTAATGCATGAGTTTTCTGGATTAATCAACAGTACGGAAGCCAAAGTTTCTTAACATCTGTAATTGGTTCATAGCATCTTGTATGTATGCTACAAAAGCAATGAGCTTTCTGGAGTTGTTGGACTTGTTTGAAGTAGCATGTCTACTAAATCATCTGTTCCCATATTTTTACAAGAGAACCTATTCTACTAAAAAACTAGCACATATAGCAAATTCTTTATAGAAAGCAATTAGATTAGCTACTTTTGATAAGTACCTAGCCATGTGAACTTCCCTTCCTCTAACCCTCCTCCCAACAACTAATAGAAAGAGAGAGAAAATAAATACGTATAAAAATAAAAAACTTCTTCATATGCACCGATAAACATCGTCATTCCCTTCCTGTAAGTACAATAATTCTGGGCAGAGCATCAATCCAATCTTTGTTATCTGACAATGCCTATTGGTAGAATTTAATAAGTCGAAGAAGGTTAGGTATCATCTACTCTTAATTCGTAATAGAGAAATTGTCTAACACATATAACTCAATCATTTACTACAGAATTATTTGAAGTTAGACGGACCACCATTAAGTTAATCCTAGAAAGCATTTGATCAGAGGTACAGTTAGATTAAATAAGCTGAACGGCAGATTCTTTTCCATTATACTTATAGACGAAATCAAAGAGATCCTTATAAGCTGTCTGATAAGCATAGTAAACTCCTACAAGCTGAAAATAACAACAAGCTTAGATTAATAAACTTAGATTAATAAACCTCAATTCCTTTCAATAGCATCGCCTCACGTACATGTTATGTTTCTCATTTGAATCTTCTATTGTTTCAACTCTACAAACTATGCCATGCAAAATCATACTCAACGATAGTGGAGCAATCCTATTTAATCAACGAAACCAAGTTAAAAATAAAATCAATACATCATAAACTCCCACTGAAAAGCTCAAAGACATAATTATCAATTGGCATAAACCTTCTTTAAACTATTAATTCTACTACATTCTCCAACAAACTCATAATTTCAGAAGAAACATAATCTTTTAGGTCTTTAAAATTAACAAAATTCAAACTCACACTACTTTTCATTTCTATCTAATAGGAGCTAGTTGTCTCCGTGTGACCTACAGGTTATCACAGGTTCAAGCCGTGGGATCAGCCACTGATGCTTGCATCCCGGTACGCTGCCTACATCACACCCTCCTTGGAGTGCGGCCTTGCCCTAGCCCCTGCGCGAATGCGGGATGCTCCGTGTACCAGACTACCTTTTATTAAGAGCTAATTAATAACCAAAAAAATGAATTAATAAAATTTGGAAACAAAGACAAGCACCTTAAGCCCAAGTAATTTAATAGGTGCAATCTGTCCTGGCACAATGCAATCTGGACCTGCAGCTTCTACAATAGCCTCCGTCCCCAATCCACTTCCAATTGGATCTGGCTCCTGCACATAAAACATTAAAAATAGCACAAAAATCAAGTCTTTATAAGTATTTGCAGAACAAAAAAAAAAAAAAAAAACAGAAAGTGGCAAGAGAGACAGGGTAAAACTTACAAACCTTCATAACAGAGAGAGCATAACTGGAATAAGGGTTTTGAGGGATACGAAGAATAGGGGAGTAATGAATTTTGGGGATTGGCTTTGAACCAGAAGCAGCTCGCCATGGTACATCATTCGGTAGTGTAGCTGCAGCTCCTCCACCCATTTTTCTTGACATTGAAAAAAAAAAGAAAAAGATAGAGCTAATTAGCAAATAATTAACTTAAGCCTTTGTATTTAGCAGAGACAATGGCGAGGAATTGCTGTGAACGGATAAACAGAGGAAGGGTTTAGCAACAGGAGAAGGCGCAAGTTAGGTATTTTTGTTTATCTTGTTTTCTATTACGAAATATGGTGCCAAATTCTTAGAAGGATAGAGTTTGTGGTTTTTCTTTTTATGGCTAAAGATTTGGGATTTGGAGAAAATAAATTTAAAATAATTAGAGAGACATATTTTGACAATAATACACCCCAAACAAATATAAAACGAAAATTTATGGACATGTTGCTAAAACGGAAGATACACCTTGAATGAAAAAGCTAAGAAGATTTAAGTTAAAATGTATTATTGATGAAAAGGGTTGCTTTTGGAGGCAATTTGTTGGATTTATCTCTCCAAAAATAACTTTCAAAATGCAAAGAGTTTTTGATTTAGGAGTGGTCATAATTTGTTATATATTGAATTACAAAATTGAAATTGAAAAATTTGGTATTGAATATATAGTAGGAGTTTGGACATAAAAATTATGAGTTCTGAAAACAAGTGCCATTTTGAGTTAAGTTGAAAATTCGTATTTGGAATTTGAATTTATGTTTGAACATGTAATTCACTTGAAAAACTGTTGCAGTTTTGTGAGCGGGGAAAAAAAATTCCAAAAAATTGAAAAATTAGTTAAAACTACTTTTTGATTTTTGAAAAATTCATTTTCAAAAAATCTCCAAAAATTTATAACATTTCATGGACAAACACATTTAAAAAAAAAGTCCCAAAAAAAGGGAAAATGAATCTATGACACACATGTCCTTAGTCTTTGATATTTGGTCTAAGTGTTTAAAAAATTTGATATGGTATTTCGTATTTAGAAAAAAAAAATAATGAATATCGATTTGCTACCAAAATACATACATATTAGCTTGCAAAATACCCTTATTTTGGATTATAAGGTAAATATAATTGTCTCTTCAGTCTCATCTTCTAACTCATTACTCGAGGTTAAATTCTCTCTAATTTCTTGTTACTATGATAAACTTTCTAACAAGCACAATGGTTTTATATAAGTGATCAAGGCGTTTTTTTAGTAGAAGTAAATCCAGAATTTTTAATCTGAGAAATATCAATGTACTCGCTACATCTTGTGAGAATGATCATTCAAACTTAATATTAATATATACTTTTGAAACTTTTTTACTATATATATACAAAGAATACAGGCTTGAGGATACTCTGGCTGCACATTTGTCACTGCTGCCTGATCTTTCTCTCTGAACTTCATGTATATATCATTGATAGAAAGTTACACTTCTCCAAACAAAAATTAAGGAAATTACACAGCCAACAAATGTGCTTAGAGTGACGATTATAAAAGCTACTCCCTCCATTGCAATTTAGATGATATAATTTGAATTGACATAGTTTTTTTAAATTTTTTTTTTTTTTTGAAACATGTGGTCCTTAAAGCTTAAGGGACAAAAGTTTTATGGGGCCATGACATTTGTGTAGTTATAAAAGCTTCTCATTAAAGGTAAAATTGATAAAATAAAAAGTTTAAAGTTAAATTATTTCCAAATATAGAACGATGTCATTCTTATTGTAACGAACCAATAAAGAAAGTGTATCAATTAAATTGAGACGGAGGGAGTAACTTATAACACTCAACTCTAATGCATGTCAAATCCTCCCCTGGCTTCCTTGTAAGTCCTTTAGCTGCCTTTTTTTTTTATGGCCTCTTTGTCATAAAGATTAGAGAAATTTTCAGAAATCACTATATTTTAGTGATTATTAGCTTGCTATAGCTACCCATTTATTAAATTACTTCCTATAGCTATGTTTTAATTTGTTATAGAGTGTATTCAATGAATTTAAGCTAATGTATTCATGAATACAATAAGAAAAGTCGGAGGAAAAAAAGGGAACTACAGCTAACGTATAGACTGCATTCATATGTATTCGTGAGCTGTATTCGTGAATACAATAGTAGAATTTGCGAAAAAAGGTCTTCAGCTGTTTAAAACTGTAAGAGAATCAATTAACGCGATAGACTCCTAATATAACTCAACAAACTCAATTATAACACACAAAATTTATATTTCCAGTTATAGAAAAGATTCTCAACCGAAAAACACTCCAAAAATAGAGCAATCTACAGAGATTCAATCCATCCTTTTTTTTAGTGGTATCTTTACTAAAATATTTTTTAGTGGTATCTTTACAAATAGATTTATATATTGAAGTTGTATAATTACATTGAATACTTAAATACATAAAAATACATTGAATACATGAAGTATAGCAGGTCATCTATAGTGCAAAAACATAAAAATACATACTGCAGATACATATATACATCTGAATACATAAATTATATTAATTAAAAAAATATATTAATACATTCATGGAATACAACGAGACAGTGAATACAATGAAACACATGGAATACAACGAGATATATTGAAATACAATAAAAAAAAGGTAACAGACTCTTCAAGTTCCTCAGCCCCAAACTCCATCCCGAATCCACCGATATCCAGGCAGCCGCCATGTGCGGCGTCGCTGCCGGTTAAACGAAGAGAGTTGTTAAAGAAGCACCAATTTAAATGATCAAATAGAAACTAGAGACAAAACTTCTTCGGATCTCACAAGGCAAACATGAACAATCAATGCAAAATCTAAGAAAAATTTAGAATGTGTAACACAACTGTGTGAAAGAAATCGCCGGACGGAGGTAGGGGTTAGGGGTGACACAACAAGGAAGGGGGGAAGTGGCCGCCGGCCGGATCTGTCGTTGATGGAACACAGCCCCTGCTAGGGTTTCTAAAAGCAGGGGAGGAAAAATCGGGGGAAAAGAGAAGAAAGAGGAAAGAGAAAGGAGGAGAGAGGGAAGAGAGAGAGAGAGAGAGAAAATAATACACAGCGTATTTAATGGCTTAAAGGTAGGAAGTGGCCATAAATAGATATTTTGCTATAAAAATTAAAAGGTAGTTATAGGAGATAATTTTTTAAAAGGGTATTTATTTATACTCCCTCCGTTCCAGTTTATGTGAACCTATTTTCTTTTTGGTCCGTTCCAAAAAGAATGAACCCTTTCTAAATTTGGAAACAATTTAGCTTAAATTCTCAATTCTACCCTTAGTAAGAAGCTTTTATAACCACACAAATAGTGTGGACTAGGGGTGTGAATTCGAATCGGTTTATCAATAAATTGAATCGATTATTTGTTATCGGTTTATCGATTTATCGATTTCGAAATTTTCCTTATCGAGTTATCGATTTCGATTTTGTCCTCTTCGATTATCGGTTTATCGATAAACCGATAAGAAATACTAAATTTTTTTTTTTTATCCTTATTCTATAATACCCTTTCCTTTACCCTAAGTCCCTAACCCTATTATTTCATCTACCACATTTAAAGAATGATCATATTTAAAGCTCAAGGGAATGAAGTTCAAATTAATGGAAAATAGAATTAGCCGTGATGTTGTATTTTTTTATTTTGATACCGTTGGAGTGTTGGTGGCATACATTTGATCCCTTACTTTAGTTTCGTTGCATGTTGACACAATTTTTATGTTATAAACGGTGTTCGTCTTATTTTAGCTTCTTTTGGTCCATATTAGTAATCGTGTTTATAGCGATATACTTTCCGTGGAATCCCGCAAATTTTCTTATTGGTGTAATCGATAACCGAATCGATAAGCCCCAAAAATCGATAAATTGAAATCGAAAAAATCGAAACCTTATTGAAACGATAACGATAAGCATATGTACAAATCAATAATCGATAAGTAATTATCGATAAAAGTCAAAATCGAATCGATAAATCGAATGCACACCCCTAGTGTGGACCCCTTTTTGAGTTGTTTAAGACCACAAATTTCAAAAGTTTTTATTTTTTCTTAAACCCCGTGCCCAGTCAAACAGGTTCACATAAATTGAAACAGAGGGAGTAATAAATAAGGTATCAACCTTTGCTATAGGAGGTAAAATTTACCAGCCACTTTGACATTTTGTATATAAGCTTCAAGTGGGCTGGCTCCAGTTGTGAGATAATTGCACCAATAGCCACTTCTAATTTTGTTTTTTTAAACATAACCAAAATTTATAATTAGTGCAAACTATGACTAAAGCCTAAAATAAAACTGTTTATTCTCATCACTAGCTCCCTTCTTCCGTTCTTGAAGCAGAACCAAAGTGGAAAATCTCGAGTTCGAATTGTTACAGTTCAAACTGCTGTGTCAATCCATAGACAACAATATTAATTAATACGGTAGCAATTTTCTAAACACGCGACATCATTATATTGTGGCCCTCCAAAAAGTAACATCAATTGTAGATGTAATAGGATTGTTGTTGCACCGGAACCGTCGTCATCGTCTGCATCAATATCTAAATCCACATATTCTTTCATTCAACTACATCTCCGAACTCGAGTAAACCCCACTTTAATTCGAGACAAAGGATTATAATAAGCTGCATCTACATTCTGCCATAGTTAGTAGGTTGGATGGTCGTTTTGTCATGACCCAAAATCTAATCATGGTCGGGATGGTGCCTCTCGAGTTACAAGGCAAGTCTACTTCCCAAAATATTACTACTAAACCGATTATAAGAAATTAATAAAATATTTCAACATTTAAATTTCCATAAACTAAACCAACTCTAAATATAGTATAGAAAAATACGAAAACGAGCCCCAGACATCGAGGTGTCACTAAGTCATGAGCGTCTAAAACTATGAACTAAGAGATATAATTGTCTAACTGTCGATACAATCCAAAGAAGAAATATAGAAGGAGTAACAAGGCCCTGCGGACGCTAACAACTACCTTGCAGTCTACAAAGATAGCCCGCCTGAACTCAACGATCGTCGCGCTCTAACTCACCTGGATCTGCACATAAAGTGCAGGGTGTAGTATGAGTACAATCGACTCAGTAGTAACAGAAATAACTAAAGAACTAAGCAGTAGTGACGAGCTAAGTAAAACAATGCAATTACTTCTTTTCACAATTTAAAATACACAGAAATAAACAAGTAAATCCCATAACTCAGTAAATGGTACAAAGAAATTTGCAGGTAAAATGCAGCAACAGCAAAGTAAATGAAACCTCGCAGCAATGTCACTCCATCACTCAGCACTCAGCACACAACACACTCAATAGG